TTGCTATTGAGCACAAAAATTTGATGTAGCTTCTTTATGTTTATTGGGTATATATCTTAAATATGTTTGATAGTGAACCTTCTATTTGAACCCTGTTTTAATGGAAATATCAGGGTTGAAGATGCAATACAGATCTTGGAGAATGTTCTGAAACTGAGAGAGGAAAAGCTTGGAACTGCAAATCCTGATTTTGAAGATGAAAGGAGTAGGCTAGCTGAGCTTCTAAAAGAAGCAGGGAGAACCAGAAACAGAAAGGCAAAGTCACTGGAAAATCTCATTGATCCTAACTCAAGGAGGACGAAGAAAGAGTCGACAAAGAGATGGGGTTTCAGACGTTGAAAGCAATCCACTCAAGACGTGTATTCACTTTTTGATACATGCACATTATGTAACATAGAAGATGGTGTATAGTGTCAACCATCAAGAGCTGTAATTTGGTAAGGTTTCCTTATTTTTTGAGAGTTGAAATCCTCCTGTGTTTTTTTTTTCTCCCCTATTATATAATTAATTGTTTTATTGAATGAGTGTGATGCGCGCTTGAAACTTGGAAAAGAAAGAAAGTTTGTTTTGATTGAATAAGGAAAGATGTATGAATGGAGAGTTTTGAGCAACTTGAATTGCCTACTTAGAAGGTTCCCATTTCTTTACTAAAGTGTAATGTAAAGTTTGGAGGGGGAAGTGTACGTGTGTGTGAGGTGGTTCAACCAAATTAGCTTCAACAACCATTCATATCAAATCAAAATCAAAGCATAAGCAATTGATTTGAATTTGAGGTAGACTTGACAATTTTTTACCGAACTCGCTAACTTGCTCATTATCCACCTGTTTAAAACAGGTTAGGATCAGATATTTATGACCCGTCACCCGTTAAGAGCACCCGAGGAGTCATGGGTCAATAACGAATTGACTCACTGGATTAACGGGTTTGACTCATTTACTCATTTAAAAATTAAAAAATTAAAAAATTTTTAATTTATTATTTATTTATTTTATTTTACAATTCCTAATCCCACTTAAACCTCTAATAATTGGTTAATTTTTCCTAATTAACTAATTGATTCTCTTAATTCATCATCTTCTAGAAGTGAAAATAATTCCATTTCATTCATGACTCACCTCTAGACCTTTTCTATTCTTCCTTACCCTAACACTTTCTAAGACTCTAACTCTTCAAAGTTCAAACTCTTCTTATATTTTTTAACTTCCACAGTTTATACAACCTTCGACTCTACCTTTTCTCTTTAGTCTTTAATATTATCTCAAACTTAGATCTTAGTCTCACTAAGTCACTATCACATCAACTTAGCCCTTCCTTTCTTTCTTCTTTGAGTTTGACAAGTGCTCTCTTTGTCACCATCTTTTCTCTCTAAAGCCTTCAATGTAAGTTATTTACTTGTTTATTCTTTTTAGTTTTCTTTTCATTCCAAGTAAAAATTCTACTTAATATTCTACTTAATATTCTACTTAATCTTCTCCTTTGCTTAGATGCATTCAATTGATTGATTTTTTGAAAGCAATGACCAGAAAAAATATGTTCCAAATTCTAATGGGGTTTGTGTTTTTAGGTTGTCATGTGACTACTACTTTTTTTTTTTCTTTTTTTGCTATTGAGATTTATAAAAGTGCAGTATTTTTGAATTTTATTAGCACTGTTTTTTTAAGGGAAGTGGAAAAGGTGATTTTGAAAAACTATAAATATGTTTTATTAAATTAATGAGAAAAAATTTTTTTTTATAAGATATTGAATTTCATTTTTAAATCTTTTGAATAATTTTTTTGAATAATAATAGGTACAAATTATAAAAAAAAAAAATTAATTGGGTCAACTCTCGAGTTGATATGTAACTCGTGATGGGCGGGCTAAGGTCAACTTTCATTGACATGTGACCCATTTTAACATAATCCGTTTTGACCCATGACCCATTTTGATCCGACTCAAACCCGACCCAACTCAACTCGCTCATTTGCCAGGTCTAATTTGAGGGTTTGAGAATAAAGACATGTTATAGATTTCCACTTTTATATAGGGTACCCAACCAAACAAGGGTTTAGTGGTTGAAGCAATCTCTAACAAAACAATGGAGTTGATGATTTGGTTAGCATAATCTCACAGCCTCCCTCAACAATCTGAGCCCTACAAGTTAGCTTTTCAGTATTTCCTTCCCATCTGAATAGGAACTTTAGAGATATGATAATTTTTTCCATTGGCACATGAGACTCTGTCAATCATTGTTAACCAATCTTCCCCACTTGTGGGTGAGCGTTTGCAGCAAAATTCAATATTCCCACTAAGTACCAAGCGAGAATGGAGTCGTACGTCGAATAACATTACATCTCTATTTCTTTCTTTTATATCTTAGTGTTTATTTTTCGGTGCTGGAAAGATGGGGTTTGGTGGCATGGGTATTGCTGGTCTTCTGGCCACTTTCGTTTCTTCATTTCTCTGCTTTATATCTTACATCAACTTTATTTATTCATAGGACATATTATCCAGAAAAAGGTGAGGAAAGGAACCCTGTTCCAATTTGACTCATAAAACAATTATATGATATATATTAGACCTTCATCTTCATGGATCCAAGAATAATATTTATGTTCATTAATTAGAACTAGTGCCCCTCAAACACAAAATTGATGAACATGATTTTCGTGTAATCACTTAACTTTACATCATCATTATACTATCCCACGTAAAATAACATTACACACAAGCTAATTATACCATTTTTATTTTGATACGTAATTTTTAATTAATTAAATCTTGTTTCTTACTTTTTCAGAGAAAAATTATATACAATTAATTCAATACCTTACATATATATATATATATATGTGTAACATTCAGATAGGGACCCGACATCAAATTAATTAGCATTATATATTTATCCAGATACGATTCCTTTAAAGTTTTAAAATTGGGCAAGCTATTGTAGAGAAGACAAAAGAAAGAAACTTTTCCTAACCCACTACCTGCTGGAATTTTGTGAAACTGAAAAGACACTCGCTCTTTGCCCTTTGGGACAAGCTGATTTGCCCCATCATTTTCACTTTTTATGTTGAAACAGTCCCCACTCCCACTAATAATGCATTCACTTATCACTACAAATTCAGCTCTCTTTTTCTTTTTTTACTTTTACAAACAAATGCAATCAAATACCTACAGCCTACGTACACTACGCATCAATTGTCCTACTTCAAGTCTTGCGCAACACATTTAATTTGATATAAATAACATAAATAGATT